ATTGCTTCTGGTGTCCTTATGGACAAGTCTTAGCTCTTTCGGGTTTTGTTTTGTTGACTCACATTTTCTCTGTTCTGTAAGATTTGCCTAAGTTCTGTTGGTTGTTCTGAGCTTATCTGACCCCACGTTACTCTTGTTAAACCAGGGTGGCCAGAATTGCAGTCAGCCCTCGAGGTCTTAGCTTGCCGCCCTGGCGTGCAGGGAAGCGCGGGCGATCCCTGATGCCTCAGCTCCTGGAAAGACTATTTCTCCCAAACAGCAGGATGGCTGGGAAAGGGACTGAAAATACTTGTATACTATACTTAGTATAGAAGGGCAGATACTCTCATTTGAGGCATCCAACCTGGGAGAGCATGCTTGTGTAACACATGCTGCTCTGTTGTTCACCTCTGTTGCGCGCAGTCAGGAAGATTAAAGAAAGGTACCACGTGGCCTGTTTAAAATATTTTCCTATGTGTGGGTACAAGGACACTGCAGAGACATGGCCTCCCTCCAGCCCTGGCCCTCAAGCTTGCTTGCAGCCCTTTTATACTGTGATTCCAAGACTGCTAGCACTTTTGTCAGTTGCCTACCAAATGTGACCGGGGGAGATGCTCTTTTCAGTCTATTGTCATATGAAAAACTGTTTCTGAAAGACGCATAAATCATAGAATAGTTTGGGTTGGAAGGGACATTTAAGTCACTTCTTGCAGTCAGCTGGGACATTTTCAGCTAGACCAGGTTGCTCAGAGCCCTGTCCAACCTGACCTTGAATTGTTCCGTGATTGGGATATCACTGCTTCTTTGGCAAACCTGTTTCAGTGTTTCACCACCCACATAGTAAGAAAATACCTTCCTTATATCTAGTCTGAATCTATCCTCCTCTAGTTTGAAACTGTTAACCCTTGCCCTGTTGCTTCAGACCATACTAAAAGGTCTGTCCCTGTCTTTCTTGTAAGCCTCCTTCAAGTATTGAAAAGCTGCAATGAGGTCTTCCTGGAGCTTTCTCTTCTCCAAGGTTACTCTCAGCCTGTCCTCATAGGAGAGGTCTTCCAGCCCTGTGATCTCCTCTAGACCTGCTCCGACCAGTTGATGTCTTTCCTGTACTGTTGACCTCAAAGCTGGATGCAGTACTCCAGGTGAGGTCTCACCAGAGCAGAGCAGAAGAGCAGAATCACCTCCCTCTACCTGCTGGCCATAGTGCTTTTGAAGCAGGCCAGGACATGGTTGGCTTTCTGGCCTGCAAGTGCACACTGCTGGCTTATATTGAGCTTCTCAACCACCAGCGCCCTCAAGTCCTTCTTGGCAGGACTGCTCTCAGTGAATTCTTCTCCCAGACTGTACTCATGTTTGGCATTGCCCTGACTCAGGGGCAGGTCCTTGCACTTGGCCTTGTGGAACTTCACAATATTCCCATTGGGCCAGTTCTCAATCTTGTCCAGATCCCTCTGGATGGCATCCCATCCGTCGGGGTGTCAAATGCCCCACTTAGCTTGGTGTCACCTGCAGACTTGCTGAGGGTGCATTCGATGGCCCTGTCTTTGTCATTGATGAAGATGCTGAATAGTCGCTGTCCCAGTATATGGACCCCTGAGTGACACCATGCATCACCAATATCCATCAGGACTCTGAGCCAGTGACCACTGCCCTTTGGATGTGACCATCCAACCAATTCCGCATCCACCAAACAGTTCATGAAATCAAATCCATCTCTTTCCAAATTAGAGAGAAGGGTGTTGTGGGAGACTGTGCCAAAGACTTTACAGAAGTCCCCATCAATGGTATCTGTAGTCCTTCCTTTGTCCACTGATACAGTCACCCTGTCATAGAAGACCACTAGGTTGGTCAGGCAGGACTTGCCATTGGTGAAGCCATGCTGGCTGTCCTGTGTCACCTCGCTGTCCTCCAAGTGCCTTTGTATAGCATCTAGGAGGATTTACTCCATGATCTTCCCAGGCACAGAGGTGAGGCTGACAGGTCAGTAATTCCCAGGGTTCTGCGTTCTACCCTGTTTGAAAACAGGCACAATGTTTCCCTCAGGGAAGTCTTGAGTGACTTCACCTGACTGCTGTGACTTTTCAAATATCATGGATCAGTGGAGAAATAGTCATGGTATAATTTGTCATGTGAAGGCTCTTGTAGGCTTTCTCACCTGACACTGTTTCTTATGACCCCACACAATGACTTTTTTTTGAGCCCATCAAATAGCAGAACATCAGTGCTTCCACTGGGAAGGAGATAAGCCTCCATTCAGAAGGGTTTTCTTAATATTCTGTGTAATCATGCCTGACAAATTAGGTGACCTATGATGGGGCTACAGCATTGGTGGGTAGGGGCAGAGCAGCTAACTTCATCTACCTGGGCTTAAAGCATTTGGCACTGTCCCACATGACATCCCTGTGAGAGACATGAGTTTGATGGATGGACCACCTGATGGGTCAAGAACTGGTTGGATGATTGCCTGCAGAGAATTGTGGTCAGCAACTTTGTCCATGTGGAAACCAGTGATGAATGATGTCCCTCAGGGGTTGGTACTGGGGCTGATACTGGTCAGCATCTTTGTCAGTGACATGGACAGTGGGGTCAAAAAGCTCCCTCGGCAAGTTCACTGATGACACCAAGCTGTGTGGGGCAATTGACACGCTGGAGGGAAGAGATGAGCCATCCAGAGCGACCTTGACAGGCTTGAGAGGTGGAACAATGCTAACCTGAGAAATTCAACAAAATGAAGTGCAAGGTCCTGCGTCTGGGTCATGACAATCCCAGTCACACCTACAGGCTGGGCAGAGAAGTCATTGAGAGCAGCCCTACGAAGAAGGACTTGGGGGTGCCAGGTGATGAAAAACCCAACATGAGCCCTCAGTGTGCACTCACAGCCCCGAAAGCCAACTGTATCCTGCGCTGCATCAGAAGAAGTGTGGCCAGCAGATGAGAGGTGAATCTGCCATTCTGCTTTGCTCTTCTGAGACGCTACCTGGAGTACTGTGTGGAGTTCTGGGGCCCTCTATGTCAGAAGGACATGAAACAGTTGGAGCAAGTCCAGAGGAGGACCACAAAGCTGACAGTAGGACTGGAGCACCTGCCCTGTGAAGACAGGCTGAGAGAGTTGAGGCTGTTCGGCCTGGAGAAGACAAGGCTGTGTGGAGACCTCATAGCAGCCTTCCAGTATCTGAAGGGGCCCAGAGGGAAACTCTTTGTTAGCAACTGCAGTGATAGGACAAGGATCAATGGGTATAAGTTGAAAAAGGGGAGATTTAGGTTAGGTTAGGTTTATTTAGGTTAGGACTAAGTTTTTTACCATGAGGATGGTGATTCACTGGCACAGGTGGCCTAGGGAAGTTGTGAATGCCCCAACCCTGTGAGTATTCAAAGCCAGGTTGAATAAGGCCTTGAGCAACCTGGTCTAGTGGGAGGTGTCTCTGCCCAGGGCAGGGGCAGGTGGGACTAGGGGATTTTTTTAAGGTCCATTCCAACCCCTTAACATTCTATTATTCTGTAAATTCTTGCAGCCTTAATTTTATAAAGAGGACAGTTTGTGTAGTCTTGAAACTGACCCCAAAGTTTTTGCCTTGGTTTTAACTGCCATAAGGCAACTCTGCAGGGAAGATTGGGCTATTGTCTTTAAATGTGTCTATATTAGCTTGTTTATTTATTATTTTTTCTCATTCACAATTTAAAATTTTTCACTTCTGCTGTCAAATTAGAAGTGGAAACGCTGGCAGATAGTACTTTAGCTTCTAGATTGTCTCAATTTATTCAGGCTGTGTCAGTGTAGGGACTTAAATGTCAATTTTTCCTGGTGACTGGTCAGGTACTTGGTTTATATTAATGTGTGGTACTACTAGTAGGAAACACTTAAAGAGAAATAAAGATAATTGACATAAGAACATAATAGGTCTATTATGATGACTATTGTGTAATGGCTTTGCTGTGAAGTCTAGGTTTGAGGGTGGGATTTGTTTTGATTTCCCTCTTGTCCTCCGTATGTTGGATACTTCCTGGTTCTGGGTTGTTCTTCAGCAACCTAAAGAGCTCTGGCACTGTGTTAGGAAGCTGGGGGAAGGTTCAGTCTGTTGAAGGGTGTTCCTCCTGACTATACTGCCAGTACAGTGCTGTCCTTCATATTTGTTCCTTGGCTTCCTCTCAAATTTTCTGGCATTGTTATCTCTCTGCTTCAGCAATTCCAGTTTATGTTTACTATCTGGATATCTTTGAAGCTACACATATCAATATATAGGTTTGAGAAGCCTTTGGATTGCTCTAACTCATGCAGAGGAATTGCATTTGTAAATCTGTTCACTGCAAGTCACAATTTGTCAGCAGTTCAGAATGGAATTCTCTTGTTTTGGAGAACCCTTCAGCCTGCCCCACCTCCCACTTAGTGTTTAGTATTTACAGTAGTAATATTTTCTTTTATATATTTCCCCCCTTATCTAGCCAGAGGTATGGTCTTCATTATAGGCTTTTTTTGTTCATTCACTAGTTTCTTTTAATGTTCCAGATTTGTGGATGCTATTTTTCTACCAGCTGCCGTCGCAACACCAAATTTTATACTGATCCTGTTGAAGCTGTAAAAGATATACCCAATGGAGCAACTATACTTGTTGGTGGTAAATATTTAAATTCTTTATGGATGCAGTCACATTCTGTTAATGAGATACATTTTACTGATTTACTCTTGCTTCTTTCAATATTAACTAACTTGAAAATCGTGGAATTGCATCGTTTTTTAAACAAATGACTTCCTAGTCTGCTCATGAGAGGCAGACACAGTGAGAAAATCCAAGTTGTGTCTTAGTGGAGGGGAAGAAAACTCAGAAAAGTCATTAGGTTTTTTTCCTCCTTTGTGAAACTTTAGACTATACTTGTGCCACTTTGAATGCAGAAAATCAACTTGGGCTTTTTCAAGATAGCATTGTTATTTCACACACTGAAGAGATACAATCTGATTCGATTATTTTTATGCTAACATTCTATGCCATTCTGTACCTGCCTCTTCTCTGGGTCTCTGTGCCCTTGAACAGATTGCCTAACCTGTTTTTGGTGGTAGGAAGTGAAGATAATACTTACCTGTGTTATGCCTAATGGTTATGTGTGGCATTTCCAGAAGAGTCAAGAAGTAGTGTTGTAGTAACTTTCACCGTGTCATCTTTTGAATATTCTAGATGATTTTCGCATTTTGATGCTGTTCAGAAAACAGTGTGAAGAAAAGTGATTTCTCTATTTTGTGGGTTGTTTTAATCCTGAAAAATTAATGAATGTAAAGTTGTAAAATATTGGAAACCTCACTGAAGGTGTGTAATGAGACAAAATTCTTTCTGGAAAGAATTTTCATTGTGATTTTGGAGAGTTTTTTGTTTGGCTTTTTTTTTTTGAAGACAAGGAGATCTGAGGCAAAGAGGTTAGGAAGAAGGTAGTAATAATTGTAGTAGGACATGGTGTTTCATTTTAGGCATACAGGGTTCTGGCATAATTGGTGTGAGGGTGAGGTACCTGGACTGGGTGACTGTGCTTCCAGTTCTACATCTTCCCAAGGGATTCCCAGATTTTTATCATCTGATTATAGGCTGAGCTGTATAGGAGAACTCCTCACTCCTTCTGTTTGATGTGGCTATGTGCAGCAAAGATCTGAAGGTTAGGTGGGTAGAAAGAGAAGGAGGAATAAGAAGTACAGGGGTTAGGACGCATCAGGAGAGCCAAGGTCCAGGAGCCCTTCAGCAAAGGCCATTTATGTGTGAGCAGACCTCTGATGGCTAAATGGCTTTCGTCCAATCTGGGAAGCTTCTGGCAGCTGGGAGATTCCAGTACTAGAGTGCAACTCTTTCCAGAAGCGTTGGTTTATTTAGTCAACTAAGGAGCTTGTTCTAGTCAGAGAAGATTTTTAATTCCAAGACTTCTGAATAATCTGTATGCTTTCAAACTGTTGTTACATACTTAATTTTGTTTTCTTTTATGCAGGTTTTGGATTGTGTGGGATACCTGAAAACCTCATTGGGGGTTTGCTGAAGACTGGAGTAAAGGGAATAACAGCAGTCAGCAACAATGCAGGGTAGGTATTCATATGTCTGTGGTTTAAAAAGTACATACTAAATGTTCTGCTCATGTGAAAATCCTGATATATATGAAAAAAAAAATCTTTCTTTTCACCGTTGTAATTTTCATATTAACCACACAGCTTGGTTTGAAAGTGTTATTTTTGGAATGAGCCCAGGAAGTACAGTACTGTATGTTTACTCAGCTTTGTCGGGGGTAGTTGTCACTGTTGCAGAGAGTTGCAATGATGTATATTTATATATATTCAACAGGTTACTGTAACTGAAAATTCTGACTCAGATGCTTTAAATGTAGTGTCAGTGATTTTG